ATCCACATAAACACATCGGCAAAATCCGGCTTACTTTGAGCATGTGTTTTAAACAGTTTAATCCCTTTGTGAATTGTTTCCACTTGCGCCGTCCTTTAATTTCTTCATACAGCGGGAATCCTGAGTCACCATCAAAGTCACTCCTATACTGCTCCTTAAATACGCTTTCATCCTCCTTTAACAAAATACTTCACATTCATCCAGTTTGTGACAGTAGTTTACTTTAATTACCGCTGTTGCGCCCCCCCCCTTATGTGTGGGGGGGGCGCAACTTCCAACAGAAGTTATTTGGGGGGGATCTTGGGAAAAAAGGTTGGTAACCCCTGCTCTAAGGTGATATAATCATGTTTTAGCTCATTTTAACTCAAAATAATTCAGATAAGGTCACTTGAAGAAAATCTATTTGGAAAGAAATTCAAAATTCTTATACACTGAAACTCCAAGAGAACACTAGGCTGTGTTTCCTGTTTCAAAGTGAGCTCTTTGCTTCTTAAGCACATGTGTGAGTCTGAGAACAGGGGAAACTATTATTGCCTCGAAAGATTTGGTTGGAGGATCAAAGAGTTTGAGGAAAGGGAGCTGGGCAAGCGGGTGGGGCCCAAGAATAAAGTGTTATTTCCAATTAAGACCTCCAGTGTTTTAATTAAAGAAAAAGATCTACATCGGCACACACACAAAGCTGTCAGATGTTAACATCAGCTGAGGGGAGGAGAAGAGGAGTGAGGGAGATAAGGAAGTGCTGCTGTGCTCAGCAGTAGCATTGTGTGAATGTGAGAGCAAAGTATTTGATAATTATTTAACGGTAATGATCTGTTAACAGGTAGCTTCTATCTGATGTGTCATTCAAGTCACCAGCATTTTTGTCCTTTGGCAGTGGAGAGCTCACCCACACGTCGTTTGTGAATTTGGTGTTGCCACTTGTACACGAACAATAAGTGATGCAAATGCAGGATAAGTTTGTGAATGTGTGCTCTACCCGGAGAGATTTCACAACGATGCATAATGCATGCATGCCTGTCTGTTCTCTGATCCATCTACTGTCTTGACTGCCAGGGCTTCCTTATACAGGCTTAGTCAGAATTATTAAGTCAGACTCATTTTTATTCCATTTTATGCAGGTTTTTTGAGCTCGCCCAGATTTGCTCTGAGTCAGTCAGAGATATTGATTTTCCGTCCCTCTTAAAACATGTATTTCCTTTCATAACAACGCGTATCGCATTTCAACTGCCTTGCAAGGATTCCCGCTGATGTGGTTGTGGTCTGGTGTTGGGACTCCGATGAGAGGACTCCCCTCTTCCTCTTATCTGGCCCGATTACCACTTGGGTGTTAGAGGCCAGACGTCCTCTGCTCCAGTTACCTGTCTGCTGCTACGCTACACTGCCGCTCACATCATTCAGCCTCTCCACGGGGGGCGATAACTGTCTTGACAAGGACTCCTTCCTCTTGAATCCGATAGTTCTGATAGGTTCTTCGAGAATCAAACACAATCATAATGAACAACAATTTTGAGGTGCTGAAGACATATTGATTTTAATCTTTTCAGATGTGTCTTTGTTTTTTCAGAGGGGCAGTTAAGGGCAGGCAGGATGACTTTGATGACAAATACATCATTCCCCACGGCTCCTATTGAAGGACAAGCGGGTGTTTGATTTCTGTTCTTCAATGAGCTGGTGGCTGCTGGGCACAGAGGGTAACACTCGCCTGCCTCCCCAGATAGCGCTTGAGATCTCCTGCGGTGTCTTAAAAAATGGCCCTTTAGGGTTCTTGAAAAATATGTTGCTCTTGATTTCTATAAAACTGCCCCTTGCTTTTAAGATCCAGATCATTTTGGCAACACTGCTGCTTGTCTAGAGCAACTCTCAGATGGTGCCAACACTCCTATCTGAGCAAAAACATATTGCAGCATGCTTTGCTGTACAGTAACCTTTAAATTGAGCAAGGCATCCCTCCCTCTCTTGCAGTCTTCATTAAAAAGCCTGAGAGGACAGGCTGCAGGAGGAGAGATGAAGAGAGCATTGTGCTATTGTTGAACAGTAGACTTAAGTGTCTGGCACTGCTAGAGGTGTCAGATTCAGTGTGCAGCATCATTGTCAAAGACAAATGTTAAAATGAGCTCTAAAAAAGAAAAGAAAGCACCGAGCAAGAGCTGCAATTACTACTCCAGTGTGAGAACACATGCCGTGTGACTGTCCACACCACCATGTCTTCAAATGCAATTGTGGCTTAATTTCTTAATCTTTAAATGTTCTATAGCATCGTTTTTTACATATAGTCTTTGCATGTTTTCAAACTCTAGGAGATTTGCTGAACAATGCGTCTTTACGGTTGCAGAGGTCACGTGTTATACTGCAGCACAGAACATATTTTTCATCGTTAAATATTATAACAATCACTATTTTACACTCCATTCTGAAAAACTGCCTACTACTCCAATTCTCTTGCCGCTCTGCATTTAACTAGCAGAGTATATGAGGTGTAAGATTTAACTATCAGCACGCATCCAACTTTGGCTTATGCAGTGTAAGCAAGTTGAAATGTTGGAGGAACACCCCTGAGTTCCCTGTTGTTTTCGCAGTGCTTAAAGATGAATGCATTACTCCACTTTAGTGGAATATTCATACTTTTTAGCAAGCGTAAGGCAACATTGTTTGCTTAACAGTGAAGCACTTTTTTCCAAGAAGTCACCCTTTGATGATGCACCCCAAGTAATATCTACTTCTTTCAATGACTTGTGTTGTAACATTCAATAAGTTTGTCAAGTGACAAGATGAATATTTTCAGGGCTGCAGCTTTTAATGTCAAAGGTTTACTGTTTCCTAGCTCAGAAATGTCAACCACATTCAAAAGCTGTTTGAAAGGCCTGAAGAAGTTATTTTCAGACCAAGTTTGTTTTGTTTCATGAAACTTGGCAAGATGTATCCCAGATTTAAGTACTGTAGGCAAAGTGTGGGCGATGGGCAATCAGGTCTTAGTGAGGGGGCGGAGGTTCGGGTGATTTTGTCATTTGTCATGTGCGCTAAGTGAGTCAGTGAAACGGCTGGAGAGGATGGGAGGTGGCTGCAGGCTCTGTCGCTGTGGTAATTGTGAGTCATTCAGCCTCACTGAGCACAGGCCCCAGGCCTCTCTCCCAGCAGGGAGTGTGCGGAGGGAAGTGATCCTCACAAGCCTGCCAGCTTCACAGGCAATAATCAGCCTGTTACAGTGACAGGTACACCATTTTAACCCCTTCCCCCAGAAGCACACTATAGTTTTAATGCAGCAGAGAGATCAGGGAGCCACTTAACTGGAATCTGTGCCATAACTTACACAGAAGCTTGGGACTGACACCAAACCAGTGTGTCTAGCAAAGGATATTCTTCCGATTGAGACTCCTACTTCAGTTTTAACGTTTAGACCACTTAAGTTACGTTAGAGATCAATTAGCGGTGCAGATATCTTACTAACACCTATACGGAGTACTTAATTATGCTGAATATGTAGGAATAAAACTCGATATGAATTTAAAAGGTGATAATATACAATCGTAGTCACAACTAGCTTCTGCTGCCCCCAGGTGGAAAAAAAGTCAGCTTTTGCAGGTTTAAATATAATTTTGACTTTACCTTTAACAATATTTTGCATCGTTGTGTTTCATAACATCAATTTGAGCAAGGAATCTAAATGTTTCTTTTTGTTTCTAAATGTTTTCTTCCTATCTCTGTCCAAACAAGCAGACATACC